TGAATCTGTTCTTTACTTTGATTTTATATTTTGGAGAAGCATGTCTTCCAAGTCAAATCTTGCTGGAACATTTACTTTCTTTAATTTTTTTTGAAGTTTAACTCCTATATTTCTCTCCCCCTAGAAGTAAAGATGGCCTCACACTTGCTAGTATTTTGTAAGCGGACCAGAGTAATCTTACTCTAGTCTGCATTTGGTTTCCCATGCCTCTATTTTGACACTTTGTGTATTCCAGTTATCTATTGGTATCATAATATCTTTCTTGCATTTAACACCTCTTACAATGTTCATAGAATGTCTCAGACTTCTACCATTGCATCTATAGCAGGTACATACTCTTTGTATATACATTGATGTTCATTGGATATTCACTAACACTGATGTTCATTGGATATTAGATATCCAATATTGGATATTCATCTAATGTTCACTGGATATACCCTAATTATAATAGATGTTATCCTGTTGGGTTGTAACCAAGCACATATTTAGCTATTACGGCTTTGCAGCTTTTCAGGTTTGATTCCAAAAAAGTGCTTTGGAGTGCACAAAAGCTCAAACATAGCAACTCTCTAAAACAGCTGGGTCTTTTCCTGGGATCGCATGGCTGCCTGCCATAGCTGTCCTGAAATTCCAGGAAAAGATGCAGCTGCTTTAAAAGGTTGCAGATAATTTGCATCCTGTACTCTCTGAAGTACCTTTCTGGAATCAAGTCAGAAGTACTGCACAGCCTTTTGCAACATCATTGGCATTCTATTGGCAGTGGCCTCATGCTCTGAATAGTATATTATGCAACCACCTGATTTAAAAGGGCTTCCACTTCACTGAGATTCACTTATTTCTGAAGCATCCAATAGAGCCTGCTTCAACTATTTCAACTTATCCTTTCTTCATTCTTCTTACATTCCATGTTCTTATTCCATGTGTCCTTTTAAGATGCGGAACTCCTCTTTCCATACTGGCCCCATCACTGCCGGTAGCTATTAAGGTTGGCAATATACTTTGTCACCTCCAAATCTACTTGTGAAAATTTCAACATTCTTCTATGGTAATTAGAGAAGTACTTTCATTTCTCATCATCTACTTGTCTAAATATTTCAGCCATGCCCATAGTGAGTAGTCATCTGTAATCATAATGATGTGAGTTGCTATTGCCTTCTTCCACGTTTGATTTTGGAGTTCCTAGGTGGGTTGGTTTCTCTCATACCTGCTGAGCCCTCTTCTCCCTGTGGATTACACTTCACTTTGCCCCTCTCCTTTCTACCTTATTGTCCATGATGATCCTAGAAGGAGCTCAGGTTTAAATCTGCCTTGCTCTCAAGAAGCTGCTGAAGCTACTGAGCCCTCCCACCATATAAAGTCGTTATCTTCTGGGAGAGTGTATACACTTCTAAAATAGCTTAAACTACTTACCCTCTTTAAAGTGAGAGAATATTTAATGGGATTTTTTATCAGCTAGCAAGGTTAGCACTTGGACTTGAGAAATCATACATTTGATCACTGGAAACCAGTGCTTAAAAAGATTTTGCAGGCCACAACAAGAGGGGAAGGAGGGTATGAGCATAGAAACCAAGGATTAATCCCCCTTTCTCTTTCTGAATCCAAATACTTGAGAACCAGTACTTTCAAAGGCATGCTGCTTGAGGCAGGGGGAACACAAGATGGGTGGTTCCTGTTCATCTGGTGCCAGTGGCTTGTTCTTAATGACTGCCGGGCTGTCCATCGCTGCAGTTGATCACTTCAGCTAACACTGATTGTGCTGGTTAGTTATGTAAGTGCTTTTTTGTGAGGGGGAGGTTAACAAGGTTGGCATTACAGCAGCTGTAACAAAATGATTGGGTCTATGAAGCCAAATGTTGTTTACAAGTTTTCAGTGTGTATGGTCCTAAGGGTAGCAGCAAAGGGAAAGGTTTCCTTGCCTCTGCCAGGAAAAAAGACATATAAATCAATATTATAAAATTAGTTTATACAGAAACATATTTTTCTTCTCCATTTGAAGTTCTGAAATTATTCTCTTACTGGGGCTGTTGGTTAGTGGTTTTCTAGATTAGAAAACACACATTGTCTTCTTGATTTTTTTTTTTTTTTAAGTTTTAGCTGTGATTGTTTGATATGTTTAAAACGCACCTCTTCAGACAGCTGTCCCTGTGACAAATGGCTGGAAAAAAGAAGAGCTAGAAAACTTTATAGGATTTCATTCTTTAGAGTACTTCTAAAAACTGAAAGAAAAAGGTTGCCCAGATAATTTGAATTTATTTTCCACCAGCCGTAATATGCAATTTTTTTTTCTTTGCTGTAAAAATAAAGTATGTTTCTCATTGTAACTTTATTGCAGAGGTTTTATTACAGCTACAGTAGCTGAAAAGTAATTAAGTTTAGCAGTTTGAAATGGACTTTTCACTAGATAGGAAAGAATTCAACAATTTCTCACATTTAACTCATTGTAAGGAAAGAGGGAAAGAGAGAGCTAGATAGATCCTGTACCAAATATTTAAAGTTTTCTTAACAAAACCTATATCGAGTATGATCTATAACTGTGTTTTTCAAACTTGGCAACTTTAAGATGTGTGGACTTAAACTCCCAGAATTCCCCAGCCAGCTTGTGGGAGCCAGCCAGTCCACAGATTTTAAATTGCCAGGTTTGAAAAACACTAATATGGAATGGGTTTCAGAAAGATCCAGTACAGCCCTGTTAAGTTGGTAGTAGACACAGAGTACATTGCAATATTCGGAGGTATGCTCTCCCCAATTTGAACTGTGTCAAGGGTTCCTCAAACCAACCCTTGACTAAACCCACAAAACAAAAACCTCTGAGCGCCATGCAGTCTGAAAGTCACAGCCTGGCACAGCATGCCTGTTGCAGTCTGGAGAGAACCCCATGGGGCAGTTGAGAGGGAAAGCCACCCAGCATGTGGCACTAAATCTAAAGAGCTGAACCCCAGGAAGAACATTCATCCGATAAAATATGCCTGAGTGGGCATGGCTTCTATCTTTAACTGCAAATTCACATTGAGCTTGCTAACCTAGGAGGCAAAATACTATGCAGCCAAACCAAATTGAACATTATTACTTTGGGACTGAATGTAAAATGGATTTGGGTGGGGGGGAAATGAGGGTTATATTCTTTATGCAGAGAGATCTAAGTGACATCACACTGTGAGACAGGAATTGCAAACGCCTCAGTTCTCAGTCATAGTGGAAGCACAGACTGAGCTATAATTCTGGTCTTGCCAAAATCAAAAGGCTTTAATACCATATTTGACAGAACTTTGTAGTAACTTAATTCATCTCTACACTACCATTGATACAATCTATTTGTACAATGCTTTGTGGAGGCAGTCTGATTTTGTGGCACTAACAGATGGCCTTATATTGGGAATATGTCTGCTTTCAGTTTCCATAAGCCTTGTCTTCGCTTACTATGGTTTTCTTGTCCTTTGTTCCTTAAATATTAAGGCTAAAATCCAAGCACATGTAGCCTGAGATGAAGGTTGAACTCAGTGAGTTTTAACTTCTGAGTAGGTATGGTGTACCTACCTACAGTGTAACTGTAATGTAAACTTCAATAATAAATAGTTCTGATACATTGGGTAGCGTCTCTTAAAACAATGGGCAAATGCAAGTAAAAGTTGTCTTTGATACTAACAACCCTGCTGAGCAGAATGGTGTATTAGACTTCTATTTCAGTCTCAGTTCCAACGAGTTATTGGTGGATCTTTCAAACTTAATAGAATTCTGCTTGATTATTCATTTTCATGCAACAGGATTAGTCTCAGCTGGAAATCAAGTTTGAGATGTATTGGCAAAGTTATCTGCAAAGCTGGTAGGCCTTTTTCCCCATGGCTCCATCTACCAGTTATTAATCCTTCCAAGATGTAAGCATCATTCTACTGTAAAGTAGAATCTTTTAGTGAGTTTCTCCTTAAAAGAGGCAGTGTGGGTATTACAGAGCTCTGCTCATGTTTAACACAAGCTTCTGCAGTAGGGATCATTTTGTGATACTCTCTGCATGATTTAAGAACCCTTGAAAATGAAGGGCCGAACTTGTGCAAGGAACCTTCACAGGTAGAAAAAGACTCTCCCAGGTACAGACGCATCCCTCAGTATGCAAAGGTGTGAAGAATCATGCTCGGGGCTAAATCAGTGGTGTGGAATTTGTTGCTTTCCAGACATTATTGAATGTCAATTCTGAGCCTGCATGGGAATGGTTTGCCATTGGTAACCTTGTTAGTGGTAAGGCTAAATCAGCAAAGTTTGAATGGTAAGGGTTTCCTATCCCTGAGCTAGGTGTGGTCCTATCATATCTTTTATTTTCTCCCTTCCTCTCTCCCTCCCTCTGTCCCTCTCTCCTGTCTGTCTGTCTGTCTGTCTGTCTGTCATTGTTGACTCCAGGCAACTGCCTGGACTAATCCCTCCAGTTTTCTTGGCAAGATTTCAGAAGTGGTTTGTCATTGCCTGTTTCCTACAGTTGAGAGAGAGTGACTGGCCCAAGGTCACCTGGTTGGCTTCATCCCTAAGGCAGGACGAAAACTCACAGTCTCCTGGTTTCTAGCCCAGGGCCTTAACCACAACCCCAAACTGCCTCTCGTATCATATCCAAATTGCCTCTTTACTCCAGGACTTGATCAGAGCCTGTGTTTTGCTTATTTTCAGTACTCTTACTCCTGAAGCCCCTACACTGACATACGCTTGCTAATAAGGAAATATCTTTTTAGTGAAAGAGGTGCTGCTTTATTCCAATTATGCATGGAAATTATCACCTACAGTTTGGAAATCAAGACAAAAGATGCTCTTCTTAGAGTATCTCTTAACTCGTTGCTCTTTCAAGATGATGGTGATTGGCCATTAATCTTGAGCTTTCTACCTTGATTTGGCACTGAGCAATAGACCTTTCTGCTGTCCTGCATGCTGCCATTCCCTCAATTAAAATTCACAATGTGTAGCCCAAACAAGCAATGCTGTTGATTTTATTTTATTTTTTCCCCCATCTCTTTTCACAGAAACTGAAACAGAAGAATCAACAGCTGAAGCAAATCATGGATCAATTGCGAAATCTCATTTGGGACATAAATGCCATGTTGGCAATGAGAAACTGAATACGTTTTCTTTCTTTCTTTCTCATTATGATATTTGATGTTATTTGTTAGGGAAGAATAACTTTTTAAAGAAGACTGGGGGGACAGGGTATCCTGTTTTTCCCAAATGTTTTGAAACAGCCAAACCCATGGGTATTGATTGTATCTTAAATATTCATGTATATATTTGTTATACTTTGATTATGAATATTGAAGCCTTGAAGTTTCAGGCAATGAATAAATTCAGTAGAAGCTTTACTTTTCAGACAAGATGAATAACTTTTATTTTTGACGTTTGGGCAATAGTTTCTTTCATATTAAATAGTATAGACTTTATTTCATGAAGAAAAGCAAAGAGTATTTTATCCTAGAGAATGCATTCTTGCTCTCAACAAGTCCCAATGAACTGGAACAAATCATGTAATTCTGGTTTCATTATCATTAAATAATAATAAAAAAAAGCATTCTTAAGACCTATTTCCTCCTTCAAGGATTTTTAACTTTAGAATTAAACCATGACAGTTAGAATGTACTAATCTGTGTTACCAACTTACTGCTGAGGACTGAAAGTCTAGCACTCACTCAAATAGAAAAGAGGAAAATGTCAAGGAAAGCTTTAGCAGAAGGGAGAAAGCTTTATTTTTAGCAATGGTTGATAAGTTTTGAATTTTCTTTTTTTTTTTAACAAAAATAGTTTTTTTAACAAAAATAGGTTTTTTTTTAACAAAAATAGTTGGTTTTTTAACAAAAATAGTTGTTGTTTTTACTTAATTGTTAAAGTAAATTAAAAGTGGGGTTACCTTCTTGGTTTGTTAAAACTAAAATGGGTCATTGAATGTGAGAGCACAACTTGCTTAGAGACTTCAGGATTATGGAAGCCAGCTATGTTCCATCACAGATAGGATCAGAATATGACAAAAGAGGCTGCCCCCCACTTTTCCCCCCTTTCCCCCCAGATAGTCAGAAAAGTTTCAGTACAAAATACTAGCCCCCTACCACTTTGACATCCTAAAAATTATATTTTTCATGACAGTTGGTAGATGACCAAAAGGTATCCCTGTACCATACCGCCTGATTGACCTTAATAAATACATTCAAGATTACCGTCTTAATCGGATGGCTTTTAAAGAGCCTTAATACTATTTTGGTAGGACTTTCTGGAAATATCCTTGATACTTTTTTTTTTAATGTACTGGGCCC